AACAATTCTTGTTGCTGACTTTGCACCTTGCGGTTCCACCGAGTCAACTGCTCGTACTTACACCCTAGACATCCCTAGACCACGTACTGAAAGCAGCCGTTCGACTTTTGGTTAAACAAAACTTGTTGCTGACTTTTCACCCTACGGTTCCATCGAGTCAAGTGCTAAGTATTCACTAGAATCCACTGGACTGTACGTTCCTTCAGTCTCTCTCTCTCTCTCTCTGCCTCTCCCTCTCTCTCTGCGCGGGCTTAGCTCCCCTATCAGCTGTCAGCTGTCTCTCGTGCGCTAGCCTCTAAATCATCAAAGGTTCCCCCCGACGTTCATCCCAGATTGGTGGAACCTTGGGGGCCCGAGGCAACAAAAATGATCTAAGCTCCTCCAGCCACAGATATGACGCTGTAGCTAGGGCACGAAGTGAAGTAAACGCAGGAGAAAAAACCACACAAACACACACACACACTATCCTTTTGCCACCTCTCTGCTTTCACCGGAGACGGGGAGAAACAAGCGCCATGAACAGCCAAAAGATATGTCTCAAATCTTCCCTGTTCAGCTAGATGGGAGCTACTCGAAGCAAGCGGGCCAGTGAGAGCCGGAGGAAAACAACCAGGTTTCAGGGGCATATCCTCCGTGCTCATCTGTGGGGAATTCGTCGTTCCCAAGTTTCAGGGCGGGATGTTCTTTCCCATGCTTTCACCTACAATCCTCCACTGAAACCATTCTAATGCCGCAATGCCTGTGTGCCACCGTGTGCGCCCAAGACCCCATCCATACTGTCCTTGCTTCATATCTACACTCCACACTTCACCCCCCCCCCAAAAAAAGCTTTGCAGCAGCCATGCCTGATGTTAAAGCTCCGTTGATTCCTCCCAAATCCATCACCCAGGCATGCCCAGGCACATACTCCACTAAGAGTTGCTCAATGAGCTCACGGACTCTCGACGCCATCACTCCATGAGATGACACCCCAATTTCGGCAACGACGTCCCTTGAGAAATGCATCGGAATTTCACAACTTCACCTTCCAAGGTCAGAATCGAAAGTGCAACATCTGCGTGACTTGGCATCGAAATGTCCGGATTGCCTTCCTGCGGTATTCCTCTGTGTATTTGGCATCGGTCCATCATGTTTTTGTTCTGCATAATTCTGTATAAGTGCATTGTATTGCAGGATGTGTTTCTTCATACCCAGATTTGTCTATCGATTTGTTTGACCTCACTCTCCGACTCGGCTGAGCCCATCAGCGGATGTGAGAGCTGTCGCCCTACAAAGCCCATTCTTCTTCCGTGTGCGCGTTGGTTCCTCAGTGGCAAACGGCCTTGCAGAATCAAACCACAAAGGTGAAGGATTTTGTTTGGACCCAAAGGTGAAGCGCATCAAGAATAAAACGAGGCTCCATGGTGATGAGACAAGGATAGTCTATAGTGATTAACTAGACCGCTTCTATTTTATTCACACGCGGTCGACGAAGTCGAACGGCACATGGTGGCCTAGAGGTTAGGCGGCCATGTGTCAACTAGCGACGCCCCATACCTCATCGCCAGGTCCCTAGCAAAGCGGATAACTAGACCGCTTCTAAAAGTAACACAGAAGCGGATATCTGGTTCCTGGTGTGGTTTCCACTGTGCAAGGTGCTTTTTGGATCAGTTTTCTTCCGACAATGCTCTAGCTACAGGTGAGAGATTGTCCGATGCTGGCGAGCAACGCCCGAAACTCGGCGCCAGACCTTTGACTCCGAAAGCAGGGACGAACGGTTAGGTCACCAACTAGAGAAGAATTACAACTGCTTCGCAGTTCCTCCAGGCATGTCATGGGACCCTGAGCACTGCATGTAGAACCACTATCCGAAGAACACAGAGATCCATTGAGGACCTGAATGATGTCTAAAGCCATGCGTGATCATCGTCGAAGTGCCTTTTCTTTGGGGCTCCCTGACCTTACTGACTGGAAACTCCGATGGGACTGGGTGAGACTGAGATCTGCGTTCTCGCAGACGTCCGCGCGTGAAAAAAACGCGGTGGGCGGCTTGGCGGGTGTGATAGGGGGAACGGAAGGAACTTCGAAGGGTTTACCTTGAGCATCTCCTCATTCACAGGAACAGTGGATGTGCTTTTTGGTATGTGTATATGTGCGCTGATTATGGATCCTGGACTGACTGTTCCCGTGAATCGGAGTTGACCCAAGGTACACCCCTGAATCACCCAGTTGTGGGAAAGCCACCAGAACAACGAACCGCCAGCCAAGACGGGAGACAAAAGCTGAAGTTCAGCAGTTTTGAAGCCGCGGCCGAGTGGCCCATTCGGCTCTAGCACTCTAAGGTCAAAACCACAGATCCCAAATCCCTGGTAGGTTGACCTCGTGTAGGTCGTCTATTCTGTTCATTGCCGCTGGTCAACCAACATGTTCTGTTCGCCGGCCGGTCTCATGGGGCCGCCTTTGGGGTCGCCTTGTCGGTTTTTTTTTGAATTTAGCCCGGGGCACGACAGTGACCTTTCGTCTGGCCATCAGCTCAGCTTGGACCTTCTTGACATCCTGGCGACCCAACATGTAAAAAAAACACGAAACAAAGATGCTGGATGGTTGATCTTAAATACATGGTGTCTTCCCAATCTTCCCAGCTGTGACCTTTGATGCTGCCGTCTTCATTCTAGACCCTACTTCCAGGATCTTGAGGGACTTCTTCAGTGTTGTTTCCAAGCTATCATTGGCATCCAATTCCAATGGCTGTCATCTCCTGTTCCTACCGGGGTGTGGGTGGGAAGAGCTCGCAACACCGGGCCATACTGCTCTGCCAAGCCGCCATGACCTGCTTCCTTGGTGCAGTTCTGCGGAGTCGACTGCTTCAGCAGTGACCATCGGCTGTGACCCAATCAGGCAAGCATGGTGCCACCCAAAAAAAACCATGCAAAAGAAGAAACACAATCAACACTAGCAGGTTCGGGCAATACTTATCTGACCTTTGGGGCCACACCCACTTGGTCTGCTCCAACAGAACTGCCTGGCAACCAGTGGCAGTAACTGTACATAACTTGTTAATGCGACGGATGCTACACTGAACAGCTCACACACACACACAATCGCAAACAAGTTTCACAACATTGTCCAGGCTCATTTGTGCGATGACCATGTCCACCTTGTGAAGCTCTCCACGAAGTCTCATCAAACCCGACCTGCCGAGAATGAAGGCGTTGCCTGCCGTGCTCCAACAAATGTCGATGTGTTTTGCCGCGTGAGCTCCTTATCAGGAGGCCAAAAAGAAAGGAAGGAGGAGCAAATTGCTGGGGGCCGGACACCAGCTCAGACAAAGATACCGTTCCATCTTCTTCCTTGGGTGGTGGCGAGAGCTCGGTTGGTTTTGTTCGGATCTAGGTGCAGAGCATGAATGGATAGAGTGGATATGATCAAACATGACTAGAACCCACAAGCCGACCGATGGTGGAGGTGGTTCATTGATGATAATAATTATACACTACTATATATTGCGCCCTCAATCCCATACCCCCGATGACCTCCGGCAAATCCATGGTCCATGGTCTGTTACAAATATTACAAATGAGGGGAATGTTGACATAGCAGTAAGTAACCTCCCAGTATTAATCAAGCCATATCAAGCGCATCTCGAGCCCCAAACAATAGCCAATTTTAAAACCTATATGCCTATATGATATACTATATGTCCACAACAATATTCCTTGGCATAAACCTGCCCCTATTAATCTAGACCACCTGCCCCCCAGAAAATAGAACTAGCTGCCAATGTTCTATCAAGCAACCTTT